GTGTATGGTGATAGGTAGGGGTCCTGTTTCAATATTCTGCATGTGGTCAGCCAGTTTTCCCAGCACCATTTACTGAATAGATTCTCCACTCCCCAGTAGTTGTTGGTGGAGGCTTTGTTGAAAATGAGTTGGTTGAGAAATTGAGGTTTTGCTTCCAAAATCTCTATCATGTTCCATTGGTCTGTATACCTGTTGTTGTACCAATTGCGGGCTGTTTTGATTGTGATCCAGTTTCTCTGAATCCTCACAGCATTTGGTATTGCTGCTATTTTTCATTTTAGCTATTGTAATGTGTAATAATATCTCATAATGGCTTTAATTTGCATTTCTCTAATAGATAATGATGTTCAGTGTGTTGTCATGTGTTTATCTGCCATCTCTATATCCTCTTCTTTTTTTTTTTTTGAGTTGGAGTCTTACTTTGTCGCCCAGACTGAAGTGCAGTGGCCGCTCCCGGTCACTGCAGCCTCGACCTGCTGGGCTCTGGCAATCCTTCTGCCTAAACCTTCCAAGTAGCTGGAATTACAGGCATGCGCTACCACGCCCGGCTGGTTTTTTTTATTTATTGTAGAGATGAGGTCTCACTACCCAGGCGGGTCTCGAACCCGCGGGCTCAGGCAATCCACTGCCTACCAAAGGCACAGGATTACAGGCTGAGCCACTGAGCCCGGCTCTTATCCTCTTCAATGAATTGTTTTTTCATACCTTTTGCCCATTTTCTAAGGATTGTATTCACTAATGATGTTTTAAGAGTTCTTTATGTGTTTTCCATATGGTCCTTTTAAAATTTTTATTTATTTATTTATTTTTGAGTTGGAGTCTCACTCCATCGCCTAGACTGCAGTGCAGTGCTCACAGCCACCCCAGCGTTGACTCAGGTGATCCTTCTGCCTCAGCTACCATGCCCAGCTAATTTTTTTTTTTTTTTGTAGAGATGAGATCTCACCATGTTCCCCTGGCTGGTCCTGAACCTGTGGGCTCAAGCAATCTCACCTTGGCCTCCCAAAGTGCTGGGATTACAGGCTTGAGCTACTGCGCCCAGCTGATCCTGTTTTTAGATATGCTGTTTGCAAATACTTTCTCTTAGACTGTAGTTTGTTTTTTCTTTCCCTCAGTAGAGGCTTTCATAGAGCCAAAGTTTAAAGTTGGCCGGGCTTGGTGGCTCAGCCTATAATCCCAGCACTTTGGGAGACCGAGGCAAGTGGTTTGCCTGAGGCCGAGGGTTCGAGACCAGCCCAGGCAACTTGGGGAGACCTCATCTTCACAATAAATAAAAAATTAACCGGACATGGTAGTGCGCGCCTATATTTCTGGCTACTTGGAAGGCTAAGATGAAAGGATTGCTGGAACCCAGCAGGTCGATGATGGGGTGGCCGTGAGCGTGCCACTGCACTCCAGCCTGGGTGGTGGAGTGAGACTACAACTCAAAAAAAAAAAAAAAAGTTTAAAGTTTTGATGAAGTCTAAATTATCCAGTTTTAAAAGTACATCACTCTTTTTTGAGTCAACTCTAAGAATTCTTCACCAAACCCTAAGTCTCAAATATTTTCTTCTAAAGATATTATAATTTTACATTTAAATCTGTGACCTGTTTTGAGTTAATTTTTATAAGGTATAGGGTTGATGTTCATGTTTTTGCTTATGAATATGCAATTGCTTTAGCACCATTTATTGAAAAGACTGCCCTTTTTTATTGAATTGCTTTTGCACCTTTGTTAAAAATTAGTTGGCTATACTTGTGTGAGTTTGTTTCTGGCTACTCTGTTCCAGTGATCTATGTGTCTATCCTTCAGCCAGTACCACTCAGTCTTGATTACATTAGCTATATAATAAGTCTTAACATCAGGTAAATTGATTTCTCCCACTTTCTTTTCCTTTTTTTTTTTTTTTTTTGTTGAGTCAGAGTCTCACTCTGTCACCCAGGCTGGAGTGCAGTGGCATGCTCATGGCCACCACAGCCTCGACTTGCTGAGCTCAGGTGATCCTTCCATCTCAGCCGTCCAAGTAACTGGAACTACAGGCATGCGCCACCACACCCAGCTAATTTTTTGATTTTTACTGTAGAGATGAGGTCTCGCCAAGTTGCTCAGGCTGGTCTCGAACCTGTGGACACAGGGAATCCTCTCGCTTCTGCTTTCCAAAGTGCTGGGATTACTATAGGCATGAGCCACCACGTCCAGCCTGTTCATTGCTTTTATACAAAATTGCAGTTGATTTTTATATGTTGATCTTGATTTGGAGATTTTGTTGAACTTACTTGCTAGTTATAGGAATTTTTGTAAATTCCTTGAGATTTCCTACATGGATCATCATGTCATCTATAGATAGGGACAATTTTATTTCTTTCTTTTCAACCTATATGTCTTATTATAGTTATATTTCCTTCTTTTTCCTTATTCTATTGGCTAGAACTTCCAGTATTAAGTTAAATAGGAGTGATGAGAGCAGACATCTTGCCTTGTTTCTCATTTTAGAGAAAAAACATTCAATTTTTTATCATGTGTAATCTTAAACTTTGGTAGGCTTTTAAAAGATATTCTTTTTTTTTTTTTTTTTTTTTGGGTTGGGGTCTCACTCTGTCACCCAGACTGGAGTGCAGTGGCCGCTCCCGGCCACCGCAGCCTCGCCTGCTGGGCTCCGGCGATCCTTCTGCCTCAGCCTACCGAGTAGCTAGAATTACAGGTGCGCGCTACCACGACCGGCTCATTTTTTGATTTATTGTAGAGATGAGGTCTCGCCAAGTTGCCCAGGCGGGTCTCGAACCCGCGGGCTCAGGCAATCCACTCACCTCAGCCTCCCAAAGGCAGGCTGAGCCACTGAGCCCGGCTTAAAAGATATTCTTTATCAAGTTGAGAAAACCTACATATTACTAGTTTTTTGAGTGCTTTATTTCTTCAATTAAGTAATTGATACATAATAGATGTACATATTTTGGAGTACATTCATATAATTTGTAAAGATCAAAGTAGTGTAATGGGATAGATATCCATCAGTTCTGAGTGTTTTTATTGTGATTGGGCATTGAGTTTTGTCAAGTGATTTTTCTGTGTCAGTTTTTTGGTTGTGCGATTTTTCTTCATTAGCCTGCTAGTATGAGGGATTATACTGGTTGATTTATGAATAATGAACCAGCCTTGTGTATTCCTGGGATAAGCTCTACTTGGTCATGGTGTATAAATTCCTTTTGTATGATGCTGAATTTTGTTTGCTAATATTTTGTTAAGGATGTTTACATTTAATTTTTTTTTTTTTGAGTTGGAATCTCACTCTTGTCACCCAGGCTGGAGTCCAGTGCCATGTTCACAGCCACCGCAGCCTCAACCTGCTGGGCTTAGGCGATCCTTCCACCTCAGCCTTCCAAGTAGTTGGAATTACAGATGTACAACACCATGCCCGGCTAGTTTTCGTGATTTATTGTAGAGATGAGGTCTCACCAAGTTGTCCAGGCTGGTCTCAAACCCAAGGACTCAGGCAGTCCTCTTGCCTTGGCCTCCCAAAGTGCTGGGATTACAGGCTGAGCCACAGCGCTCTGCCTACATTAATTTTTAAAAATTAGTCAGATATGGTAATTAGACCTGTAATTCCAGCTATTCAGGGAAGAGGGAGGATTTAGTGTGCTCAGAAGTTCGAGTGTCGCCTGGGCACCACAGAGAGAGGGTCATCTCTTAATTTTGAAAAAGATGTTTATATCTATATTCATGATAGATACTGGTTTGGAGGTTTCTCCCTTTCTCTTTTTTTAGTACCATCTTTGTCTAGTTTTGGTTTCACATGAAAGATTGTGAAAGTCTTCATGAAACACAGTGATAATGACCACTAAGTCATGGAGTGAATGAGTTGGGGCATGGGAACATCAAAAATGATCTAGTAGGAAAAAGGAATTTGGGGAGTTGGGAAAGAGAAGTAGTGTTGTTTGATTGGAAATACTGTTTGGGTGAGTGTAGGGCAGTGTACTGGAGCAGATTCAGTAAGGGGAGGGGAAGAAGTCAGGGTTGACTGTTAGAGTCGTTAGTTTATGGAGAATCTTAGTTGATGATGATGTGGTAGGGCTGGGACTATATTGGCTGTAGTGAAAGGATTAGCTAGGCGTGTTAGGGAATGAATAGGAGAGGTAGATCCTGGTCCTGGAGGTGATGGGGAGATCAGGTGGAAGGGACAGTCTTGAGCAGGAAATTGGGCACCTCTTTCTGGGGCTGCTGGGAAGGAGGAGGTGTCATTATGGGGAGAAATGGGTCCTTAGAAATAATATTAATGTCACAGAATGGCTAACACTTTGCTTGGGAGAAAGGGGGTACCCTAGGGCTACAGGAATAATTGATCTGCACAGAAATGGAAGCAAGTTCTCTGCTGATGCTCTCTTAGAATTAGAGCTATTTAGACCCTTAGACCAATTTTGGGAGTTTTGTCTGTTTTTGTTTTTGAGACAGACTGATGGGGACCACAGGTAGGCAGTCGGTGTGGAAACTCTTCTTTGAAAATTCTCAAAAATCAGAAGCTTTGGAAGGGCTTGCAGTGAGCTGCTGAGTCTCAATCCTGTCTAGCATTGGCTGTGAGAGAGCCTTTGCTCCATCTGTTGAGCCAGTGAGCCACTGACCACCCACTTATAATCAGCAGTTCAGGTTTAATCTCCAGATTAAGGCTGTACAATCTGCACAGTCTCTCCCAGAAAATAGAAGAGATGGGACTCTTCCCAGTTCATTTCATGGTTCTGATACCAGAACCAGACAAGAATCAATTTCCACCCCTAGCAAAGTCATTCCTCTTCCTCATGCCTCCATTGTGGGACTCTCATACAGGATGCTGCTCTTCTTGTGGGGCTGTGCTGGCACTCAGGGAACTGTTTTCTGTTCTTGTTGCAGCTGCAGCCGACTCCGGCAGGTTCAGAGAATCTTGACCCAGAGCAGCAAGTCTCAGCCCGACGGGATCCTCTGCATCCTAGGTCAGTGCCTTTAACAGAGTGGGACTCAGTGCTGGGACAACTTGGCTTTTTTTATTCACAGGAAGAATATTAATAGTATACTATTTTACAATTGTTAATAGTATAATTGTGAAATAAGCTATGAGCTAGTTCCTTCTCCTGACTCTTGTTCCCTGAAATCTGTTGCTGCTTTAATGAGGTTGGATGAGATATCAGTGAACTAGGGAGCTGTTACCATTTTTGGAACTCCTTCTGGCCATAACCCTGTCCTCTTAGCTTCCACACAGACAGCTACCTCCTGTCATTGACACTTCCCTCTTGCCCAGAGCCATGGTACTGGGACTTAACAGACACCTAGAAATCAGGTAGTATATATACTTGAAGGATTGAGTGGCAGTAGTGAAGACCATATCATTTAATTTCCTTTTTATTTGTCTCTGATTCAGCCCCACTAGACTGTAAGCTTCATGAAGGTTATTTGTGGCATTCATCACTGCATCCCAGCATCCAGAACAGTGTTAGGCTTTGAGCCTCATATTTGTGAAATGATGGTGTTTGTGGTTCCATTCACTTGTCCTCTTCTTCACATCACTAGGTTCTTTTTAAACCACCTTACTCTGCCTTTGTTTGATCCTGCATGTTTTGATAAAGATCTCTTTGAGAAGTGGAATATTTTTCTGACCTCTATTCCTGGGCCAACTGAAAATATTCCAAGATCTTTAATGAGTCATGGAAGGACTTGGACTATATTTCTGATTCCTTCTGTCATCAGGAATTGCTTTTCAGAAATTAGATCCTCAGTAATCTGTGCGGTTCAATTGTCTCAGCTATATAGATATTGGAATCCAAGTAATAGTACTTGATGCTGAGGCCTGATTCTTTCACAGAGAGTTACTTAGCTTGGCTTCTGGCACAAACTGGTCTGAGTGGTTGCCTTTAACTTGACCGTCAGGGTTTTCCTTTGCAGGGGCAAATTACTGGGGCTCATTTGCTCTTTGCAGTACAATACAGCTGATCAGAGCCTTCTTTGCTTTGCAGGAATCGATAGCAGGTACAATGAAGGCTGCAGAGAGCTGGCAAATTATCTTCTGTTTGGTTTGTACAATCAGAATACCAGCGATTTTGAGAAAACAGGATTTTCTGAAGAAGTTCTAGATGGTAAGTATGAATCAGTAAACTTTGTGTGAGAGAAGAGCGAGTGGTTTATTTCTTTGAATCCTTGTTTCATGGTCTTTTAGTGGAAAAATACAATCAAATTTAAAATAGCCCAAAGCCCCAGTAAATTTTTGCCTTTTTAAGAATGAAAAATAGCATATCTTCTTTGCTAATATGTTAATATGTTCCTGTTGGTCACCTAGCAACAAGTAGTTTTCAGAATATATTTACTGGGTAATTCAACTTTAGGAAAACAAGTAAATATCAGTGTTTGGCTTTATTTTATCTTGGCAAAGTACTAGTTTTTCTCTTAATTGCTCACTGCCTGTACACACTGAAGGTTCAGATTATGTGCTGATGTCCTGGGAAATCACCTTCAGCTGTGAGGTAAGGATGGGCCTACGGGCTGCTCCTCCAAGGAGGACTTCTTATGGATCATCAGCTGAAGAACAAAGGTTCTTTGTCCTGCTGTCTTTGGGAATTGTTTTCTGTGTGACTTTAATTCATGACGATGCCTGTGACTACAATGCAGCCTTTCTGTTTACATCCCCCTTGCCTCAGCGCTGAGACACTCTGCCTGTGTTGCTGCTGCTGTGGGCTGTTGCCCAGGAGCCATCTCTGATATCACATATTTAGCATCGTGACTTGTCTGCCAGATGGGTCAGGAGACACAGGACTGGGCAAATAAAACTGGACAAGAGACAAACAGCTCTTGTGAGGCAGCCAGGGAGACATGAAAAGAAACATCTGATGTGGAATAATATTACTGTGGCTCCAATGTAGTGGTTCTCAACTGGGGGCAGTTTTATCCCCCAGGGGGACATTTAGCAATGTCTGAAGATGTTTTTGATTGTCAAAACTGGGCAGGGACATGCTAACCCTTCTGCAACGCAGAGGACAAGCCCTACAGCAAAGAATTAGCTGATCTAAATTGTCAGTACTGCCAAGGTTGAGAAACTCTGACACAGTATGTATGAAAATTCTTCTGTGGTAATGTCCTTAATAGTGTTTATCTTTCTAGATTAATTAAAGCTTTCCTTTTTATTAGGAAGTGCAAAAAGAGTAGACTGAAATGGTCCTTTCTGTTAACTTTTTTCAATTCAAATTTGGTTTCAGATTTCAATTTCAACATTTTTTTCCTTAATATGTATGATATCTGCTGGTTTGAAAAAAATTGATCTTGGCAGCTAATACCAGCCTCACATTTCACTGCAGCCAAGGATGCTAAGGACATTACAGTACTGAAATTAAGGAAATAGTTTAAATTCTCAGAGGTGTCCTTTTTTGCTTACCTTTGTTTTTATCTTTTCACCTAGCACAGTGGGTACTTGGGAAATGAGCATTTTCCTAAAAATTAATAAATTCATTTTTTAAACCCAAGTAGTAAGAAAGCTGAGATCACCACATTTCTGCATTTTGATCTCTGTATGAGAAGGAGAAAGGCCAATGTGAGGAATTTGTTTTTATTTTATTTTTTTTTGAGTTAAACTCTCACTTTCACCCAGGCTAAACTGCACTATCACAACTCACCACAGCCTCAGCCTCCTGGGCTCAGCCTCCTGGGCTCAGCCTCCTGAGCAGCTGGGATTACAGGTGCATGCCATCACGCCTGGCTAATTTTTTTTTTTTTTTTGAGTTGGAGTCTCACTCTGTCACCCAGACTGGAGTGCAGTAGCCACTCTAGGCCACCGCAGCCTCGACCTGCTGGGCTCTGGAGATCCTTCCTCCTCAGCCTTCCAAGCAGCTGGGATTACAGGTGCACACTACCATGCCCAACTAATTTTTTGATTTATTGTAGAGATGAGGTCTCGCTGCCCAGGTGGGTCTCGAACCCGCGGGCTCAGGCAATCCACTCACCTCAGCCTCCCAAAGGCGCGGGATTACAGGCTGAGCCACTGAGCCCGGCTCTGATTTTGATTTCTATAGAGAACAAGGTCTTGCTATGTTGCCTAGGCTGGTCTCGAACTCCTGGGCTCAAGCAGTCCTCTCTCCTTGTCCTCCAAAGTGCTTGAATTACAGGCATGAGCCACCACACCTGGCCAGGATTTATTTTTAAAAGAACCTTTTTAAAAAGAGTTTACATATTCATCTCATTCTCATATGCTTTCTTCTTTCACCTGACTGTATACTCTGTGAAACTTTTATTCATAGTGATAACATCTGAATTCTAAGAGATTTTGAGAATGCTTAGTTAGGTTTAGTAGTTATTGTGTTATGTCTTTAATTGGGATCCTAATTCTTTTTTTTTTTTAAATCAATATTTTTTATTATGATTTTGTGGGGTACAGTTAAGGGTTAGGTGTACAATTACGTTTCATTCAGGCACCCTGTTGATAAGAGGTGTTTTCCCATCCCCAGACAGATATTTGCTACTGTTAATCCCATCCCCCTCCCCCCCTATAGTTTCCCAGTACCGTCAGTCATTTTCTTATAGTATTACATTGGATGTTCAGGGTCCATTATATGAGTGAGAACATGTGATACTCAGATCTTTGTTTCTGTGAGAGGTCACTCAGTATTATAGACTCTAGTTCCATCCAGGTTGCTGCGAAATTCATGATTTTGTTCTTTTTTAAGGTATGTTAATACTTTAGTGTAAGTATAATATATACCAGAAGCCCTCAGTCTCTCCAAGTGACATCAAACTCTTAATAGTGTGGCCTCAGCAGGTGGTCTACAAATGATTCAGGACAGGGCTCTATGGAGGGAGGGTGTGAAGAAGACTCATATACTGAGAGATGAAAGGGAGCCACCCTTCCCAATCTTTGCTACTCTTTGACTCTAGAGAGTCAATGGTGAAGAGGCTGCTGCATACTGGGTTCCATGAAGCACTCTGGACTTGGCCAGGTGTGAAGCTCAGAGTGACTTAAAAGGCCAGAATCATGAAACTTTATTTTAGGAGGCCTCTCAGCTGTGTGGTCAGCTGTGGTCGGTATTTATAGGGCTTACACTATGTTTTCATAAAGTCTGGTCTTTCACACTGTATTACTGTGTCAGCATTGCCGGATACCTGCTGCATCAGGTATTCCCTCCCCGTCCCCATGCCTGTGCCTTCTCATCTCCAGCTACTTCTAGTTTCATCTTGTTAGAGTGAGGCCTGATGGCTCTGGTTTCTGAGGTGCTATAGAATGGAGCCTCTGATTTTCTTTTGGAAGTGTGACTACTTTTGTTCTCAGTGGTCAAACTGCTTTAATATTCCTGCCGCATTCCATGGCTTTTCTGTTTACCTGGATTTATTTGCACCCTTGGGATTGCTTTATTTACTTGACCCGCCAATGTTGATGGCTATTTCTTAAATCTGTGAGCTGCTAATCTATTTACAGACCTCTTTCCGCTTGCCTCTGCTTCCTTCCTCCCAGCCTTTCCTGTATACAAGGTTCACCTTCCCCCATGGTAACTCTCCTAAAGCTGACAGGCAGTGTCCTTAGATCCACAGTTGCCTTGAGCCAGATGAGCCAAGTGCTTTAGACACTGATGTCTGAGGGAGAACTAGTATTTGGTGCTGTTTTCCTGCCTCAGTAGCTTTAGATTGTAGGATTTCTATTTGGTGTTCATCTCTGCAGTGAAGAACATGGCCATGTTTAGTACCACAGATGTGACTATATAAACTCCATTCCTTAGTAAATGGAGGTTGTTCTTTTGACTTATTCTGCACCTGCATTGCCATACCTAGAAGGCCATAGTGGTAGGAGCATTGCATGGGGATTTGGAAGTTCTTGCTGTCAGCACTTGAAAGTTCTCTTTGTCACTTTGAAGCATATTGCCTAATTAAATAATTTTTAGTTTAGAGTTTTGTTATTTTGTCTCTGCTTTTACTAATTAAGTGGGCAGAAAATATCTCACAAAAATGCCTTTGACAACCTTCTGTTTTGATTTTTTCTTACAGATGTAATTATATTGATTAAATCGGATAGTGTCCATCTGTACTGTAATCCTGTAAACTATCGCTATCTTTTACCCTATGTGGCACATTGGAGAAATCTGCATTTCCACTGCATGACTGAAAATGAGGTGAGGAGAAAAGATAGAATAGGTGGTCAGAGATAATCTAGTATTCTTTAAGGAAAGTGTTGATCTGGAACAGGAGGCCCCTGAAACAAATTGCAGAGCATGGTTATACAGAAAAGGTTATTGGTTTGAAGTGGAAAGTTTTGTATTTCATTATGAGGCTACGTAATAGATAAACTGTATGCCTGAGGGGACAAAAGGGGGCTACCTTCCTGTCCTCCTTCTTGATCACCAGCTGGAGCCTTGGCTCTCAGAGGGTCAGTGCCTAAGCACAACCCTGGGAAAACTTTTTAAGCTTGTATTTGGATTTCTTGGTATATGTTTCTCTCTTCCTTTGGTCCCTTTTCAAGGGTTTGGCTGGAAATCAAATTTGATTTGAGATTTAGGAGTCCTTGGAAGTTGTGACCCCGTATTGGTCAGGGATCCTTTTTTCTATGTGAGTGTTTGGGGGATTTGGGGGGTGGGGGGAAAGCTTTGTCTCTTGGATTTAGGTCTTCTGATCCATTTTGAGTTGATTTTTATGTGTAATATGAGATAAAGGAATGACAAGTATTTCTGACCAACAAATGTAAACGGTTGGCTTTGGAAGCACCCCCTTGGGTACAGTTATCTATAAATGTCAATTTGGGACAACTTATTGACAAAATGGACAGACTTTGCATGATGTCTCATCAAGACTGTTTTTCTTTTAATTTCCCTCTTCAGTATGAAGATGAAGAAGCTGCAGAAGAATTTAAAATTGCCAGCTTTGTGGATATGGTTCGAGACTGTAGTAGAATTGGCATTCCTTACAGCTCTCAAGGTGAGTATCTGACAGCAAGTCATCTTAGAACCTTGCTTGGATGGTGTGTGAATCAAATGTGCCTACTTCTCCTTTCATTGGAGGTATTCAGCTGGGAAACCCTTTGATCTATTTTTATTAAAGGATCGAGCAGATATAAATTTGAGGACTTTCTGTGCAAGTTTGTATTCTTTTTTTTGAGTTGGAATCTCACTATCACCCAGACTGGAGTGCAGTGGCTGCTCCCAGTCACTGCAGCCTTGACCTGCTGGACTATGGCAAGGCTTCCGCTTCAGCCTTCCAAGTAGCTGGAACTACAGGCGCGCACTACCACGCCCGGCTAATTTTTTTATTTATTATAGAGATGAGGTCTCACCAAGTTGCCCAGGCAGATCTCGAACCTGCGAGTTCAGGCAATCCACTCACCTCAGCCTCCCAAAGCGCGGGATTACAGGCTGAGCCACCGAGCCCAGCTCCAAGCTTGTATTCATAACTGTGAAGTTTCTGCAGCAACACAGCAAGCTACCTATAGTTAGGTAGAAGAACTGATAACAGAATTTAGCATAATTGACATGTAGTCTGTATCACTTACTGTACAAAGAATGTAGATGTGGGGCTTCTTGGTAATAAGAATAATAATTTGGATAGCTGTTAAAAAATAGCCGGGCTCAGTGGCCCAGCCTGTAATTCCGCGCCTTTGGGAGGCTGAGGTGAGTGGATTACCTGAGCCCATGGGTTCGAGACCCGCCTGGGCAGCGAGACCTCATCTCTACAATAAATTGAAAAGTCAGCCGGGCGTGGCAGCGCATACCTGTAATTCTGGCTACTTGGAAGGCTGAGGTGGAAAGATCGCCGGAGCCCAGCAGTTCAAGGCTGCGGTGGCTGGGAGCGGCCACTGCACTCCAGTCTGGTCAACCGAGTGAGACTCCAACTAAAAAAAAAAAAAAATACACTGACATGTTAAAAAATGATGTGTAAAGTACAGGGGAAAAATCAACCAGTTTAGCAGTGCTTATATTGTAACAACAACAAAACCTTATACATTGAAACTATTGTTACAAGAAAATAAAATTTTTGATATGATAGTTTTTCCTTGAGGAAGTTGATTGGCTATGTTTCTTAAGGGAGAGGAGCCAAGTTTGGATCTGTTAGTAGTTATTCTCACTAAATGATGCAAGTCAGTTGTAATAGACTATTTTTTCTTTACTTAAGAAACCAGAATGTGAAACTATTCTGTAGAGAAAAAACTTATATAACTTGTTAATGGTTTGAATTTTCCTTGGCTTTCATTTTGTGTTTTTGTTTCAATGTCTAACCATTTTTTCTGTTGAATATTTTGCTACCTGAGGCTCTGGTGACCATGTGAGAAATGATGCCTGTTTAACCACATTAGATCAGGTTTAGACTCTCATATCCAGCACGGTATTTGATATGTGCTTATATTTGATTCCTCTAGGTCACTTGCAGATATTTGATATGTTTGTGGTGGAGAAGTGGCCAATTGTACAAGCCTTTGCCCTTGAGGGCATTGGAGGGGATGGATTTTTTACCATGAAATATGAGGTATGTATGGAAAACAGTATGCCTGTTTTTTGTCTGCCACTGGACTGTTTTTATGAAGAGCCCATCATGTGGGTGTGCATTATTATCACACTCTGAAAAGCTGGCAGTTACCTCCCAAGTGCTTGGAACAAGATAGAAGACTTGAAGTAGAAAACAGTTGCTGCTTAAGGGTAGTCCCCAACTGAGCTCCCATGTCCTCTCTTCTTGGAGTTCCTCTTTATCCATCTTTTCCTTTCCCCATTCTGAGTTAACTGTTCTTCTTAAGCCCTGAACTGACTCCTCTTATAGCTTTTATTGTCCTTTATTACACATTTGTCACACTCACCCTGCCCACCCCATCTCTAGACTGAAAGCTCCTTAAATACAAGAACAGATGCTTTTGTTGTCGGTATCTCAGAAATTTATGAAATTTGAGAACTATTCAAGAGCAGTGAAAGGGACTGTGCAGAAGGTGTATAAGTAAAATGTACTGGAAGAATAAAATGATTAACTTTTGTGGTAGGGACAGTGTCTTTTATTTCACTGTTTCTTGCATCTAGGAGATGACCAATAAGTATTTGTTAAGTGAATTAATGAGTATGTGTAGGAGACGGGGTCATCTGGAATACAGATAGGGAGGATGGCATAGTAGGTTAGCAGCACGACCGTGAGCATCCATGCAATCCCACTGAAAAGACTCGTCTCAGTGCAGGAAACCAGAAAGGAGCAGTATTATTATGCTAGAAAATGGGACATTCTATAAGGAAGAGAATCAGTGAGACCTTTAGAAGCAAGGCACAGAACTAATTCTAGCCCCTCCTTCTGATAAGTACCATTGTCTCTAGGAAATGAGTGGAGGCCTGTCTGATAGAACCACATCACACCTCTAAAGTGAGGCAGCATGGGTTGTAGGGCTGAAGGGAAGCTAGCTTGCCACTTCAACTCTACTTTTTCTGCTTCCAAACCATAGTATTCTCACGTTAATTACTCTTCAGGCCAGATGCGTTGGCTTGTACCAATCCCAACACTTTGGGAATCTGAGGTGGGAGGATCACTGGAGCCCAGGAGTTCAGGGCTGTAGTGAGCTTTGATTGCACCACTGCACTCCAGCCTAGGTACAGAGCAAGACCCTCTTGAGCTATGATTGTACCACTACACTCCAGCCTGGTTACAGAGCAAGACCCTGTCTCTAAAAAATATGGTCATAATTAAAAATTTAAAAAGAACAAAGTTTATAAAAAGAGAAATGAGATATAGCAGGTGAGCAATCAGAATTGAAAAAGGAGATGGATGACATATAAGAAAAGATTGTAAGATGCCTCAAAATTGATTAGTACAGTGAAAATTTGCTTTAAAAAATAGAAGTTGGGTGCGGTGGCTGATGCCTATAATCCCAGCATTTTGGTAGGTGGAGGCTAGAGGATTGCCTGAGCCCACAGGTTCGAGACTTTGCCTCTACAATAAATAAATAAATAAATAAATAAATAAATAAATAAAATAAAATTAGCCAGGCATGGTGGCACACACCTGCAGTTGCAGGTACTTGGAGGGCTGAAGCAGAAGGATCTCCTGGACCCAGCATCTCGAGATTGCAGTGGCCATAAGCGTGCCACTGCACTCTAGCCTGGGTGACAGAGTGAGACTCTGACTCAAAAAAAAAAAAAAATAGAAATCAGATTTAATACATTCCAAAAATCTAATCAGTTAACAAATTTGAAAAGCTATTCCAGAATACAGAGAACAGGGCCAAATAGATTAAATCAATAAGGAAGAAGATGATAAAATGGAATACAGAGAATGGAAATTGATTATATTGTAGTGAAGAAATTAATTGAAGATTGTCTTGTAATAGTCTGCACCTCCCTCTGCCACCCTCCTCTCCCCACAAGAGTGATAAGCCACCAGGCATTTATCAAATGCCATCTCCACCCTAGCAAAACAAAGAACAGAGGTGGGTGGAGATTCTTTAAAAAAACTGAAACACAAGGTAAGACAGATTCCATTGGCTAATGTAGTTTTTGTTGCCTGAGAGAAAAGCTCTTCACATTTTGGCATTTAGAATATAAGGGCATAAGAGTCTCCTGCCTGCCTGCTCTCAAGAAAAAAGTGTCTAGGTAGTTGATAAGCTGTGCTGAGACCATAAAGCTTCCAGTCAACCTTCCCATTGCTTCATTTGAAAATACGAACAGGAACTGGGTGCAGTGACTCACGCCTGTAATCCCAGCACTTTGGGAGGCTGAGGTGAGAGGATTACCTGAACCCAGGTTTTCAAGACCAACCTGGGCAACTTAGCAAAACCTGGTCTCTACAATAAATCAAAAAAATTAGCCAGTGTGGTGGCACACATGTATGGTTCCAGCTACTTGAACTGTTGTGGCAGAAGGATCACCTGAGCCCAGCAGGTAGAGGCTGCGGTAGCTATGAAAGTGTCACTGTACTCCAGCCTGGGCGACAGAGAGAGAAAATATGAAGAGGAAATCAAAGATCACCAGACATTTGATTAAACACCTGTAACTCAAAAAGATTTAAAAAAAATTTTTTCAATATCATTTCATTAAGGCCTCACAGATAATTTAAGGTATAAAAGAAAAAACGTAAGACACATTCTTTTAGAATGTTCTATAATTTGGCAATTATAGAACAAGCATATAGTTTAATAAATGAATGTATGGAAAATAAGAGCTCAAGGAAATTATAATTGACAAGAACAATAAAGGAGCTGAGAGGTAAAGTTAGGAAAATCCTTTAAAATATAGACTGAAAACATCAAGTAGCTAGAAAGTATGAGAAAAAAGTTAAAAGACTTTAACTTTTAGAGTTAAACTCTAAAATATAAATGTTTAAAGACTAACCTAAGAAGTCTACTCTCCAACAAGTAGAATTTCCAGAAAAAGAAGGCAGAGATATCACAAGGAAGGAAATTTTAAAAGTAAGTAAATACATATTTCCAATCATAAGGAGAAGTAAAAACTTTTAAATTAAATACCATTAACCAGTGTGAATGGGAAGGAAAAAAATTTTGAATCTAACTGTGGCTTTTTGAACACTAAGGATAAAATAATATCTTAAAAAGCTTTCAGGAAGAAAAAAGTCACTACAATAAGACAACAAGAACTAGATTTCTCTTCCCAAAACAACCAATAAATCCCCTCAAAACAAAAACCCAACCACAAACAAAATACATGAAACAATGGATTTCAAGAAACTAGGCCTCAGGCAATGAGGAATAGTGATTCCCTGAGATTATAGAAGCAAACAAGGTGAGCCCCCTGAGTGCACTAGCTTACTACTTTGAGAAAGTTCCCAGACCATGGCACAGGGAGGGAGCTATCCAGGTGGAACCCAGTGTACCCCTGAATTAGGAGATGCAGCTGAGAGTCTGGGGAGACCGAGGGAGCTGGAGTGCTAAAGAGGGGAGAACTATGCAGTTTCCCAAGATCTGTAGAGATTCCCCTGCCACCACCCTGAGTATTTAGCAGAATATTGATTAATGCAGTCACTTGTGCAATAACTTCCAAGGTCGAGGGGTAAGCCTTTCTGAAAGGATTCAAGAACAATACCTGACATGGGCTTGGGACTGAGAATAGTGTCTGTTCTGACCAGTTAGATAGAAAAACACATACAGGCATACCTTACGTTATGGTGCTTTGCTTTCCTGCACTTTGCAGATATTGCGTATTTTACAAATTGAAGGTTTGTGGTAACCCTGCATCCAGCAAGTCTGTTGGTGCCAGCATGTGCTCACTTCATGTTCTGTGTCACATTTTGGTAATCCTCACAATATTTCACATTTTTTCATTATTATTATATCTGTGATGGTGATCTGTGATCAGTGATCTATGGTGTTACCGTTGGAATTGTTTTGGGGTGCCACAAGCCATGCCATTTAAGATGATGAACTTAATCGATGTGTTGTGTGTGTTGACTATTCCACCAATCAGCTGTTTCCCTGACTTTCCTCAGACTTCCCTATTGCCTGAGACACAACAATATTGAAATTGGGTCCCTTAATAACTCTACAGTGGCTTCTCAGTGCTCAGGGGAAAGGAAAAGTCATACTTCTCTTTAAATCAAAAGCCAAGTGAGGGAAGCGTGTCAAAAGCTAAGATAGGGTTGAATGCAATGGCTCACGCCTGTAATCCCAGCACTGTAAGAGGCCAAGGTGAGAGGATTGTTGGAGCTCAGGAGCTTAGGCAACATAGTGAGACCTCGTCTCTAAAAAAAAATTTAAAAATTAGCCAGGCATGATGGTGTGCACCTGCAGTCCCAGCTACTTGGGAGGCTGAGGCGGAAGGATTGCCTGAACCCAGAAGTTGAGGCTGTAGTGAGCTGTGATCGTGCCACTGCCCTCTAGCCTGGATGACAGAGTGAGATCCCGACTTAAAGAAAACTAAGATAGGCCAAAAGCTAGGCATCTTGCGCCAGTTAGCCAAGTTGTAAATGCAAAGGAAAAGTTCTTGAAAGAAATTAAAAGTTACTCCGGTGAACACCCACATAATAAGAAAGCAGAGCAGCCTTATTGCTAATATGGGAAAAGTTTAAGCGATCTGAATAAATAGTCAAACCAGCCACAACATTCCCTTAAGCCAAAGCCTAATCTAGAGCAAGGCCCTAACTCTCTTCAATTCTGTGAAGGCTAAAAGAGGCGAGAAAGCTGCAGAAAAAAATTTTGAGAAGTTGGTTTAAGGAAAGAAGCTGTCTTCATAACATAAAAGCACAAGCTGAAGCAGCGAATACTGATGTAGAAGATGCAGCAAGTTATTAAGAAGATCTAGTTCACTCAGTTAATTGATGAAAGTGGCTGCACTAAACAATGGATTTTCAATGCAGATGAAACAGCCTTATATAGGAAGAAGATACCATCTAGGACTTTCATACATACAAGTTAATGCCTAGCTTCAAAGTTTCAAAGGACAGACTGACCCCTCTTGTTAGGGACTAATGCAGCTGATGACTTTAAGTTGAAGCCAGTGCTCATCTACCATTCTGGAAATCCTAGGATCCTTAAGAATTATGCTAAATCTTTTCTGTGATCTATAAATGGAACAACAAAGCCTGGATGACAGTACATATGTTTTTAGCATGGTTTGCTGTATATTTTAAGGCTACTGTTGAGACCTCTGGTCAGAAAAAGAGATTCCTTTTAAAATATTACTGCTCACCGACAGTACACCTAGATACCCAAGAGCTGTGATGGAGATGTACAAGGAAATTAATATTGTTTTCATGCCTGTTAATACAGCATCCATTCTGCCTCCCATGGATCAAGGAGAAATTTTGACTTTCAAGTCTTATTGTTTAACAAATACATTTTATAAGGCTATATGTGCAAATTTCATAGCAAATTGAAAGCCTTCTGGAAAGGATTCATCATTCTACATGCCATAAGAACATTCATTATTCATAGGAGGAGGTCAAAATATCAAAATTAAAAGGAGTTTAGAAGTTGATTCTAACCCTCACGGATGACTTTGAGGGGTTCAAGACGTCAGTGGAGGAAGTCATTACAAATGTGGTGGGAAATAACAAGAGAACTAAAATTAAGTGGAGCTGGATATGGTGGTTCATGCCTATAATCTCAGCACTTTGGGAGACCAAGGCAGAAGGATTGCTTGAGGCCAGGAGTTTGATACTAATTTGGGTAACATAGCAAAATGCTATCGCTTAAAAAAAAAAATTGTTTTAAATAAGCCAGCTGTGGTGGCCCATGCCTGTAGTCTTAGCAACTTGGGAAGCTGAGGCAAGAGGGTCACTTGAGCCCAAGAGTTGAAGGCTGTAGTGAGCTCTGATTGTGCCACTGCACTCCAGCCTAAGCAACAGAGCAAGACCCTGTCTTTAAAAAAAAAAATAGAGCCTGAAGATGTGACTGAATTGCTGCAATCCAATGGTAAAACGTTAATGGATAAGGAATTGCTTCTTATGGATGAGTAATGAAAGTGATTTCTTGAGATGGCATCTACTCTTGGTGAGGATGTAGTAAACATTGTTGAAATGACAATAAAGAACTTTGAATATTCCAGAAACTTAATTGATAAAGCAGTGGCAGGGTTTGAGAGGATTGACTCCAATTTTGAAAGAAGTTCTGCTGTGGGTAAAATGCTATCAAACGGCATTGCATGCTACAGAGAAGTCTTTCATAAAAGCAAGAGTCAATCAATATGGCAGATTTTATTGTTGTCTTATTTCAAGAAATTGCCATAGTCCCCAAACTTCAGCAACTATCACTCTGGTCAATTAGCACCCATCAACATGGAGGCAAGGCCCCCCACCAGCAAAAAGATTACAACTCACTGAAGGCTCAGGTGATCGTTAGCATTTTTTAGCGATATTTTAACAATTAAGGTATGTACATTGGGATTTTTTTTTAGATATAATGCTATTACATACTTTAATAAACTATAGTATGGTATTAACATAACTTTCATATGTACTAGGAAACCAAAAAATTTTTGTTGGTGATACTTACTTTATTATGGTGATTTGGAACCAAACCTACAATAGCTTTGAGGTATGCCCATAATTCACAGAGCACTGAGTAGAGTATTCAGGAGGGTTTTGTCTCAGTAGTGGGAATAATCAGTCCTAGACTGAGCACTGCTTCAGACCCTTCTAACAGTTCATAAAATCAAGACCCAAAAGGATCAAGCTTCAAGTAACTTAACTGCATCCTAGAACAAAGTGCAAGAATATTTATTTATAGGAATACAAAAATATCTAGCACCCAACAAGGTAAAAGTTCAGTGTCTGGCATCCAGTGATGATCAGATTTAAAATAAGCTGGAGAAAACAACTGATAATGAGATAATTAATAAAAATTAACCTAGAATTGACAGAAATGTTAAAATTAGCAGACAAGGACATCATCACAGTAGTTTTAATTGTATTTCATATGTTCAAAAAGCTAGAGGAAAAATTGAGACATAGAAGATATTTCAAAAGACCCAAACTTGTTTGTGGTGGCATGCACCTGTAGTTCCAGCTACTGGGGAGGCTGAGGTGTTAGGATCGCTTGAACCCAGGAGTCTGAGACCAGGCTGAGGCCAGATTCCTGTCTCAGAAAAAAAGATTCAATTTGAGTTTCTAGAGATAAAAACCACAACATCTAAGATAAAAAATACATTAGATGAAAATGAATGTAATACTTAGGAATTTTTTTAGAAGAGAAAAATTGCCCTGAATGAGATTAATGACAGATTGGTTATGGCAGAAGAAAAGATTAGGGAATTTGAACTATACCAGTAGAAAGTATCAAGACAGAGCCCCAAGAAATAAAGAATCCAAGATAATAGAGTGATCAGTCAGTCATGAAGACAGAGTAAGACATTTTAAAACTAAAAAAAAAAGTTTGCCTCCCAATAATCCTTTCTTAGAAAGCTATTGGATGAAGTGTTCCAGCAAACAAGACAGTTAAGAAAGAGGAAACAAGTAAGCCATGGAACCAATTCAACTGTGAGAGCTCCAGAGTGATAGCAAAGTACAACTGCTAGAAGGAAGCAAGAAAAAGAAAGGGAATTGATAGATTGTCTGATATACTCAAGCCAGTGGTTCTTAATCAGGGATGATTTTGCCTTTCCTTCCCCCCTGGACTTTTGACAGTGTTTAGAAATATTTTTGGTTTGCATTTGAGGGGTGGGGAGGTGCTATAGGCAACTAGTGAGTAGAGCCTACAGTACACAAGGCAGCCTCCCACACAAAGAAATACCAGGTCCCAAATGAAAGCAGTGTCACTGTTGAGAAACCCTAGAGTAAACATACTAGCAAATTGGTTAGGCCGTTAGAAAGTGGTTTAATTTGTTAAAAAAAAAATTATGCAAGTGAAAAAAATGAAGCTGTCAGTACATCTAAGAAAAACAAAAATTAGAAAGCAAATGTAGTATGTATTTAGCCTGGAGTAAATAATATTCATATGGTTTTAACATTATAAATAGTTACTGTTGATATAACCAAGAAAGTTATATTATGATATGATATTAAATAATATTAGGGTGTGTGTGTGTGTGTGTGTGAAGAGAAACAGTTTGGAAATGAGGATCAGTGTGGAAGAGCTGCATCTTTTCCATAATCAGTATTTAATTTCTAAATTGATAAATCAAGAAATAGTGATAAAAGCATATTATATCAAAATACGGAGGTAAATTCCAAAAAGAAAATGTTAAATGAACTCTAAGTGGTTACTTCTGCTTCTGAGACCGTGGGGGTTTGTGAAAGTTTAGAGTAGGAGATTAAATTTTTTTGTTATAAGCCTTTTGACTTTTTTAAGCAATGGGCATGTATTATTTTGATTGAAATTTTATTTGAAACAGAGGCAAACAATATATACGTGTGTGTTTGCATATGTGTGTATAAATATGTATGTATCCATCATCGAAGATAAAGGATATACCAAACGTTCTGAAACAGTTTCCTTGCATGGGAAAACATTTTTTAACATATATAGATTCTAATATAATTGAGCAGAATTTGATTTTGTATTCTAATCACACTGAGTTTATACCAAAATAGTCATTTCTGAACATTAGAAAGTAATTTTGATTGTTCTAATGATATTAACTTAATTATTTCAATGTTTTTGCCCTTTGTTGCAGTTGCAGGATGTGAGTTTGAGTTTATGGAATGTCTACAGCAAGATGGATCCTGTGTCTCTGGAGAATTTGCTTTCAGAAGTAAGAAACCAAACAGTATTTATCTTGTAAATATTACAGTGATATTTAATTTGAAGAAATGCATGGCTTATTTTAAGTTGCATTAGTCAAATAGAGCAGTTTCTTCCTTGGTTATTGTCTTGAATTCCTTGGGGGTAGCAGGGAACCTGGAGAAGTGACACTGTCTCTTCCACTCTGAGGAGGTGTCACGGGGGCAATTCCAAGGCCTCCTGTCTGGTCCCAGATTTAGGTTTACACCTAAAGACATTCTTTTTGCTGGTTTGGATTAGAAAAATAATGCAGAAGGTGTCTTTTTTGTACTCTATCTCTGGATTGAAAAATACAAATATGGAATTTGTCTTGAAGGAATCAAAGATTAGAGTATGGGTGGCAGACATTTTCTGTGAAGGTCTAGATAATGATATTATTTTAGGCTTTGTGTACCATACTGTCTCTGTGGCAACTATGATGGTAGCACACAAGCAGCTGTAGACAATGCTTAAACAAATGGGTGTGTCTGTGTTTCCAGGAAACTTTATTTACAAAAATATGGGCCCACTCATATCAGGGTAGGGGAAAGCAATTTGCAACCCACAGAGCTAAAGCTATTAGAGTAGATGCATTAGTTAAGCAGTTCAGTAGTGTCTCTTGGAGCCATGGATAAGTATGCATGGTCGTGGACTTGGAATTAGCCATTTCTCCAGGGAGCTCTGGTACACTTTAGTGAGGAATTATATTTAGCAAACATGATCTGGGCACTAGGTATGTTTCTTGCTTCTGTGGGGACACTGGTTCTAGGTCCTTTGAATGGTCACAGTGAGGAAGTAAAGTAAAAGGATAATAAGGAAAGGAAAAGATATAATTTCAAAAATTTCATTTCCTTGAAATAGCGGAAGGTTTGAATCCACATATTGAAAAGGGCCATTTTGGCTGGGCACAGTGGCTCAAGCCTATAATCCCAGCACTTTGGAATGCCGAGGTAAGGGGATTGCCTGAGCCCACGGTTCAAGAACAACCTGGGCAACTTGGCAAGACCTCATCTCTACAGTAAGTCAAAAAAGAAGAAAAAAAGAAAAGGGAAATTTTTCCAGAGAAAATTGTCCTGGAATGTTCAACACTGAGAAATATCCTAATAAAGCTGCTAGATTTCTCCTCATCCCCTGTCCCCCACCTCCCAAAAAATAATAATAAAATGCTTTGGCAAGCTGGGCTCGGTGGCTCAGCCTGTAATCCCGCGCCTTGGGAGGCTGAGGTGAGTGGATTGCCTGAGCTTGCGGGTTTGAGACCCGCCTGGGCAACTTGGCGAGACCTCATCTCGACAATAAATGTAAAAATTAATCGGGCGTGGTAGCGTGCGCCTGTAGTTCCAGCTACTTGGAAGCCTGAGGCGGAAGGATCACCAGAGCCCAGCAGGTCAAGGCTGTGGTGACCGGGAGCGGCCACTGCACTTCAGTCTAGGCGACAGAGTGAGACTCCAACTCAAAAAAAAAAAAAAAAAAGCTTTGGCAGCCAGGCACAAATGAAGGGAAAAATTCAGGCTGGCCTTGAATTTCTTCACAGTAGAAAAAAAACTGGAGCAATACACCTATATTAAAATCCTCAAGAAAAACATGTATTCCCAAAGTTTCATATTGTGGCTCAAGTATAAAGGCAACAGATGTTTTGAATATGCAGGTATGGGACTTATGGTGCTCAGGAGCTTCTGAAGAAACTTAACATTTCAGCCAACCAAGATATGACTGAAAAAGCTATAGCAGAGGAATTGGCGTAGGCATTAGGTCTTTTGATTATAGAACTAAAACGAAAGCATTTGAGAGAATTATGGTGGTACAACGTAAATGCTGTTAAGCTTGTTTGTATAAATGACATAACTAGCCAAAGTTGGTGGGAGAGGCAGGATAAAGAGGTAGTGTGAGGATATTGCTTCCTTCATCGTTAGTACCCAGCAGGTAGAATATCAAAAGATGTCATATAAAACCTGAAAAATTAAGTAATAAAGGTACAAATAAGTAACAGTATAAAATGAGCAGTAAAAGATAATAAAATTGGATGAGTAAGGAAGGAGAGAGGTAGGAAAAAGAAATACACTAATTTTATTATTGAGCATGGTCAGAGATTAATAAATACTAAGGAAATTGAACATTAAGGTTTTTACAGTTAGTTGAAAAGTAAGCACTAGAACTCAGGAAAATAATTTTTTAGAACAACTTGTTAAATTTTAAACTTTCTTTTAATTCTTGATATAAAGTGAAAATGGAAACTTAAATTGAAGAATATCCAGAAAGTAATGTTGTCAAAACACTGCATAACAATATTTGAAATACAGCTAAAGCAGTGCTTAGAAGAAATTTTTTTGTGCTGCCTCAGGTTTATTTGTACAAATAGTACAGGAGAGCCGGGCTGGGTGGCTCAGCCTGTAATCCCATGCCTTTGGGAGGCTGAGGTGAGTGGATTGCCTGAGCCCACGGGTTCGAGACCCACCTGGGCAGCGAGACCTCATCTCTACAATAAATCAAAAAATCAGCCAGGCATGGTAGCGTATGCCTGTAATTCCGGATACTTGGAAGGCTGAGGTGGAAGGATTGCCGGAGCCCAGCAGGTTGAGGCTGCGGTGGCTGGGAGCGGCCACTGCACTCCAGTATGGGAGACAGAGTGAGACTCCAACTCAAAAACAAAAAACAAAAAAAACAAAAAACAAATAGTACAGGAGAACACTAGCCCTGCACAGAAAGCAACCTGGGGGTCAATCCAGTCCTTCTGTCCTCACATTGGCAGACAGGGGCCGCTACTCTGGAGCTTTTGTGGGGGTCTTGGTACCTTTGGGAGCCTGAGCAGGAGCTGGAACTGAAGCTGGTGCTGCAGGTGAAGCTGCGACTGGGACCTCAGTAGAGCCAGTGGCCCTTGTTAATACGGGCACAAATACGCTTCCCAAGCTTGGGGTGGGCAATGTATGCAAGTTGTGGCTAGGACCCTTTGAGATCTTGGGCTTAACCTCCTTGGGCTTTATGAGGGCCTTGATAACCTCAGCATGTGCACTCATGGCACTGGTGTTGTTGGCTTGCATCTTCTTCAGGCCCTTCTTGATGTGCTTCTTGGCAAAGTGCATGTTCCTCAGGAACTTGGGGTCTACCCCCTTAAGAGACTTGTATCTTTGTGATTGTGGTTTCTTGATGCCATTTCTGTGCCGTTTTCAGGACTTGTTGTGTGTGGTGTGGTTTTTGGACTTGGCCATGTCTGCACTGTAATCTGTGGCTCCTGAAATGCCTGTGACCAGAAGAGCTGAAGAAATTTTTTTCTTATAGAGACAAGGGCTCACCAAGCTGCCCAGTCTGGTCTCGAACCTGCGGACTCACGCAGTTCTCTTGCCTCAGCCTCCCAAATTGCTGGGATTACAGGCTGAGCCACTGAGCCTGGCCAAGAGATTTTTAAATGAAAATAAAGTAAGCAGCCATGTGAAGTTAGGGGAAAAGAAGAATAAAGAAAGAATTCATTAAAAGGAAAGCAGAAATTAATAAAATAGAAAACATGAAAGTGGTAGAACTCAGAAATAAGCCTAGTGCTGGTACTTTGAAACTGAGAACAGTGAAGTAGATAAACCATTAGCTTACTTGTGGTCAGTTATATTATTTTTTCATAATGCTTTCCCTTCCTTTCATCTCTTGCTTTAGTTGAGAGTGGGTGGAGCACTCTTTCGTGTTGCACTGATGATAGCCTTGGTCATGTGGAATGTGAGTGACTTGACTTGTCTGACCAGAGGCCCTCAATGTGCTTGTGTGGTTTATCTAGCCCTCTTACACTCTTGCCATGAGAACTTTCCCACACAGCTGCTGCTTTAACCCTCGATCCTCAAATGAGATACATAGAACAGACTGAAACTGCCCAGCTGAGCTACAGCCAGCCTGTAGACTTGTGAACACTGTTGTTTGTTGTAAGACATTGGTATATGGGAGTTGTTTGTTACATAGTATTAATGTAACAAAACCTGACTAATGAACTAACAAGAAAAAAAAGGGAAAGCACAAATTTCAAAATAAGAAAATAGAGGGAAATGATGGGTACAAAGGAGAGACCCTGTCATAAGAAGTCATTGTATCATTTCAATGCAAATATATTTGGCTAAAGGGGATAATATTCTCTGAAAGCATTCTTTTTTTTAACATTTCATTTTTTATTAAGCACATTCCACAGTACAAAGCTGTCATGAATAATATCTGTATAATTTAATAGTTTCATTAGCTGTTCAGACACAAATTTATTTCAAACAGATAGTTGACAAACATTTATGAGTTAGAATTAGACTATCCCAGTGCTTTAAACATTAATATAGCAATAATTTACAGTTGCTCAATTATGGTTAGCAAAATAAAGTCCAGAGTTTTTCAATCAAAATAGATGCCAGAATAGATAGAAAATCTAAAATAACCAAATGAAAAAGGCAGAGAAATTACTAGGAACACATGATTTTGTAGGTAAATTCTACTAAAACCTTAAAATAAGATAAAATTCCAGAACTACTTAAAAGGAAAGTCCAGATCCTATCCCCAAAACATTTGAATTTAGTGAACTAAAACCAAAGAGCATGGAAAAAAGAACAACTTGCAAGCTTTTAATTAAATTAGCAATGATACCAAAACCCAACCAAAAAGAGAAAGAAGACTACAGACATTTATGAATGCTGATGCCTGTATTTTAAATAAAATATTGGCATATAGAACCGAGTATCATATTAAGACCATATTATAGCCGGGCAGTATGGCTCATGCCTGTAATCTCAGCACTTTGGGAGGCCGAGGGAGGAGGATCACTTGAGACCAGGAGTTGGCAATATAGTGAGACCCATCTCTAGAAAAAAAATTTTTTTAATCATTTGGGCATGGTGGCATGTTCCTGTAGTCAGTCCTAGCTATTCAGGTGACTGAAGCAGGAGAATTGTTTGAACCCAGGAATTCAAGGTTATAGTGAACTATGATTGTACCACTGAACTCCAGCCTGGGTAAGAGTGAGACCCTGTCTCAAAAAAA